GAGTTTTGAGTTTTTACTTTCTGGATCATCGTTAAATGTCGAGTGAAAGTTAAAGTTAACACGTTTGCAGCTACCTGCCGACAGGGATGGCAAAATAAAAGATGGAGAGCATGTTGGTCCTCTTGCTCTTCACGTAGAGGTCGGCGATGATGGTCGGGGCGATGGTGGAGTAGCTGGCCTCGCCGACGCCGACCAGGCCTCGCGTCAGCAGCAGCGCCCAGAAGTGCTGCGGCAGGAGAACACGTGCGTTTGTGGACATTCAAACCTTCTCAAAAGTTTTCCTCCTGAGTTCAAACATTTCTCTCACCTCTTTGGGCGTGTAGGAGCTGGCGAGCGTCACCAGCGACCAGAATGTTATGCCGCCGCTCATGATGTACTTCCTGTTGTACCTGTCGCCCAGGTAACCAAACACAGGAGCCAGGAACATGTAGCTGCAGATAAAAACTGGAAGGAAGCACAAAGGTGAGAGCTGGAGTCAGGAAGTGAAACACCCGAAAACGTGACCAAAGAACACCTGTGGTCATGTGACTGCAGTCAGTATTTACCAGTAACTGTGAGACAGAAAAACCCTGTCCCACAGCACAGGTGCACTCGAGAAGGTTTGTATTTAGGTTCGTTTATGGTTCCAACATGAAGACCACTTCTACCAACGTGCCAGACACGTGTCGGTCGCCAACTCTTTGAAGTGAACGACGCGAGCGGGTTTTTTTTTCTCTCTCTCGCACTTTTTTCTGCACGCGAGCCGTGTGCTTTGCACTGGGCAGAGGGGGGAGGGGCGGTAGTTACACTCAGTAGCACAGGAACAGAGCGGGAGGGAGAGAGAGAGAGCAGGGACAACAAGGTCACATTAGAAAGGTGTAGTAAAGGAATCAGAAAGTTTATTCATGCAGGTCCATATGACAGAGAATGTGCATCATCTTCATATTTTAATTTATATTTTATTGTGTTGTGGTTTGCAGTGTTTTGTGTTGTTTCACTTTAAATTTGTAAAAGTAAAAAGCTGAAAATTTTAATAGTTGGTTTTTGTATTATATGATTTATTTATTACATTTTATGTGGAGTGAATAAATAAAAGTATATTTACGGTGGCCGCTACAGACAAAGCACGTACAAACCCCAAAACTCAACAGCAGTGCTCCAGGGTGCTAGGGGGCAGTGTTGAGCTTTTGTTACCTAGAGGCTACACAAGCCAGCAAGTACCAACGACCGGATTTGGTGTGTGGTAGTAACAGGTACATGAACATTTTTTTTTTAAATTATTTGAATATATATGAGTGCCTGTGTATAAATACACAAACAATACACACATGCTTTCAATTGTGTCATTTAGGTGATCTAGTAGCTCTGCTTTGAAGTTCAGTTAAAGCTAGAAATGTGTTTTGGAGTTTGTACGTGTTTTGTCTCTAGGGGCCACCGTATATATTTATATATAAACATATATAAATAAAACCACGTTTTTTTTTTTTACATTAGTAAGTCCTTCTGTGCATAATTTTACATTGTTGTTGGTAATAAATGAATTAAAGCAACAAAACAACCTGAAGAGCCGGTTCTCTAAAAACAGCCGTCACTACAACGTGCACAAATTCTTTAGTCTGACGCTCAGTCAAGTAACACGTGACCATAACCATTAGCAGCTCATCGTGTTTGTCTGCAGCAACATTTGTGCTGAAAATGGAAAGAAAACTTTCTTTTCATGAAACATAAGTCCTGCTACATGATGAGGGGGTGGAGTTCTCCTCCTTACCTGTTTGAAGTAAGCCAGACTCTGTGTCGCTGATCCCAAAGTAGTGCTCTATGTCAGGGAGAACACCTGGTGGACAAAACAAACATCATTTACTTCACTCACTCACCTGCACCTCTGGCATCAGAAGCAGGTGTTACAGAAATAACTTCCACGCATGCATTGGACCAACACGTGAATCTTTGCACGCATCGCTCACGTGAATGTGAACAAACGTCCCCAGCAGCAGCGTACCTGCCACGGTGAACCTGTCCATGTAGTTGAGCAGGTTGATGTAGCAGAGGACGAAGACGATCACCAACGCCCGGCCTCTGGACACCCCGCTGGGCGACTCCTCATCTGGCTGCTGATTGGCCATCGCGGTGCCCTGATCCTCCGGACCTTCCGCCTCGCTGTCAGAGGAGAAGAACGGAGCAGAGTCCGACATCGGCTCGCCTCGAGACATGGCCGCCGCTGGAGAGAGATCAGATAGTTATTACTCACTGATCCGTCGCACTGACCCGCGGGGGCCACAGGGCCCCGTTCTGGATCCTCTGCCAGACGGACGCTTCACTAAATCCTCCTTCTACCGGTGGTTCAGTCCGTTTGTTAGCAGGATCGCTCAAACAGGTGTGACTCCAAACTGATATCGAGACATCGCTCACCTGCAGCAGACAGCAGGAAGTGACAGAGTCACGCAACAGCGAGTGTGAAATGTTTGCTTTCCATGAACAGCTCGTCGAACGCGATGTTCTTCCTTCGTTGGCAGTTATACTGCTCACAGAGCAGAACTACATGGATACAGTTAATGTGTGTATGAAGCCTAAAAGTGCAAACGCGTCTTCAAAGAAGGTGAAACAGCTGGCTGACTGATTTCAGCGGCTTCTTTTTGAGACGACGTTGTTTTTCAGCTCCATGTGAAGTTTGTGTAAATGGTGGTGTTCATGTTTCCACATGCAGAGGAGGTGAACGCTGAAAAGTGGCTGGAAAATCCAGTTTATCTACTGGTGAGGTTCTTGAAACTTCCCGGTGAACACATGACGCCGTACTCGCAAACCTGCTCCGGCAGCAGAAAGCTCTGCAGGAGCTCCGAGGATGAAGGCAGGAGAAGAGGAAGAAGCGGAGAAAGGAGAAGCTGACTGAGTGAAACCGCGGCCATGTGACGCTCTACACGAGCACAATCTGCTGACGCGGTGAACATCAAACGCTCTGCCGCTCTTTTCTTTTTGTTTTGACTTTATTGAATTAAAAGTGCGACTCTGAGGGGGTCCATCTCTCCCTCTGCTCAAATAAAGGCACTTGGACATCAGAGGAGTGGAACTGAATGCTGGCTTTATGACTATGATTACATGCAAATAAACTGAAACAGTCCACCACCCTGGACTCTGTTCAGCACCCGTCGTCCATCCTTACTGCTCTTAAATGAGCTCATATTTGATTCAGGCTGAGGTTTTGCTTTCATACAGAAGGAAGTGCTCCTGTTAAGTGCCTCCAATAAAGATAAGACATGTCCAGGTGACCCTTTGCTCATCTTATTGATCAGTGGATGATTGGATCCTCATCAATACCAGGGTGCTGCTGTTGTTCTGCACTCGTGCACAAGTCAACAAAAGGCTGTTTGAACAAGGCAGCAGCTGACGAGGTTAAAGGAGAGAGAGCACAGCATTCAGCTTCAACACGTTCTCAGGAATCTTGACATAAATTCAATATTAATGTTTAAACTGTGCTCCGATCTCCATTCAACATGTTTCCAATCAGGAACTTTACTTTTAAAAGGCTCAAAGAAGATTAAAGGTCTTAAAACTCGCTTCGTAATCATCACAGCTGTGTTTGTTCTGCCATCAAAGATAATAACAGTTAATTATATTGACCTGAAATGTGGTTTAATACCTTTTAATGCGTGCTGCGTTAAATTCGGCTCTTTTATTACAGAGTTAGGAAATGTAGGTACAGCCAGGCAGCGCAGCAAAGCCCGAACACCAAAGAACATGCAAAAAACCCTTTTATGTTACTTTTTTATCAGCTGAGATTTTTCAGAGCACATTTTAAACCTCTGCTGATAAATTCGGTTAACATTTGATTACATTTTTAAACGCGTTTTGTTTTAGCGGAGATTAAATGATAAGCTCTTGAAGGCTTCTTTAAGTAAATCACCGAGCGGTCAGCGCTGATAAACGAGTCAGGAGCAGTAAAATCTAATTATCTCCGATAAGGAAAAATCAAACCACCCTAAATTCACTGTTTTTTAAATGGACCTCTGCAGAGCAGGTCTGTGGGCCCGCTGTTGTTGTTTACCTGTGAGGATGAGTCAGGCTGGCGCTTCTTCTTCTTCTTCTTCTTCTTCTTCTTCGCTCCAAATCTTCACTTCCTGTCACAAAGCTAAGAGCTCGTGACAGACTCCATCCTGACGCCGTCAAACAGAAACACGAGCCGTGCGCCGGGTTAGAGACGTTAACGCCAACGAAGCGTTTAAAGCCCGACGCTCCAGGACAGACGCTTCTTTCCCGGCGCCATGACACCTCTGACGGCCACTTCCGCTCACATGACGCCATGACCCGCTTACCGAAATTCACGTGACAGAATCAATCCCGCGATCAGCCGTGATGTGAGTGGGTGGAGAAGCTGATAGTGGTTCAGTAACGTTCCGTGGATTTATCTCCAACCGTGAAGTGACGCAGAGTGGGTCCCCCTCCACCCGCTGATAGAAACACTGTTTTTTTAACAGTAAAACTGGGTGGAGGCTGCTTATGTCCGCTTTCATGTTTTAAATCAGGATTTGTTTTTGGTAACTTTATTTCTCATAAAACCGAAATAAAAACAAACATTTCTTAAATAGTGAATTTAAATAATAATAATAATAAAATTGAACTTTTTTTGTTGGCAAAACTGCCCAAAACTTCCCTTTAAAAAATTACACTTTTAATAATGAAATGGTGACTTTAATGCAGACATAAAAAAGCTTTCGCTAAACTTGGCTTTTCGTTCTCTTTTGTGAAAGAAAATAAAGAAATTCTCATAAATTGGTCATTTTCTGACACACCTTTTACTTTAAAGGGTGAACCGCAGCAACATGCTAGCAACTGAAGCAATCGCGAGGTTTTTGCCGACCAGTTGGGGGATACAGTTTTTTCCTTAGTGACCGGTGGTTGCCACGGTGCCAGCGACTGTAGGGCAGTGAGTCTGTTTGTTCCTACACGGTCACCGACATCATCACGTCCAAAAACGCCAACAGGTCATTTCCTTCACATTTCATCAAACACTGTAAACGTCACCTTTCAGGACCATCTGTGTCCATCTTTTATTTACAGTACTCTTCCACATTCACATTGAGCCTCCAGGGCGGCCATGTTCTTGCCCTTTACAGGTGGAGGTTTTTCATCATGACCTCACTCATGCAAATAATGTGAGGTCAGCTTGTTTTACTTTTATTTGATTTTCATAAAAATAATACTCACAAACAAAAACAGGAAGTGGCTTCAGTGTGGACACAGAAAGGTTAAAGGCCTGATTGGTGCGCTTGGATTTTGCTGTCATTTTGTCCGTGTCCCATCATCAGCACCTGACAATAAAGTGACCTCTGAAATGATCGCAGTGACGCTTAAATAAACCGCAGAGCTGAAGTGGGCGACTCAGACCCAGACTTCGATGATGTCACCGTCCTCCATGTCGAGCTGCGCCGGCGTCTGGCTGCCCGTCACTTTGGAGCCGTCGAAATGGAAGCGCACTTTCTTCTGATCCTTGTTAGACATCTTGGACACGTACTGGAAGAAGATGGACCTCAGCGGCGCCTCCTGAGGAACAAACAGACGGCGTCATTACATCATCGGCGTTAACGCCCTGCTGTGAGAAACAAGGAGAAGGAGGAGGTACGAACTCTGTGCAGAGAGAACTCCTGAGAAGAGTCTCTGTCTTTGCTCTGCAGCCTCACAGTGATGATGCTGCCATCACCGTCTGACTGGCTTCCATCCTCCGCCGCCATGACCACACACTCTGAACACACAAAGAAGAAAACATTTTGCACTCTGGGACTCCATCAGAGCAGCTTCACATGAATCACAGTTCAAAATAATCCTTCTTTGTCTGACATCAACCTCTGGACACACACAGGAAACGGTGCTGGGCAGAACCCTTTCAACATAAGAGTCCCCTGCTCAACACAGTGAGCCAGTTAATCTTTATTAACACCGAGCTGCACACCAAGACAGCTTCAGGACGGTGGGAGCTGTTATTGTGTCGCTGATGGAGGTGGTTACACCTCTGAAGCAGTTTTCTTGTCCTCCTGCACTTTAAATGTTTTCTGGTCTTTTACTGTTGCTGAGCTGCTCGGTGTGTTCGCTCTGTTCTGATTGGTGATTTGGTCTCTCGTACAGTTTGATTGGCTTGTTTTGGTCCTTCAGCCTGATGATGACCTCCCCCACCTTCACCAGCATCTCTCTGGACCTCACGTTGAGAGTTTCAGTGAACAGCAAATACAACAACTACCAGTTGAACCCGTGGAATCGACCTCGGATCTTGTTGAGCGTTTGTTTAAAATCCACGGTGACGCCGTACGGAGGACAAACTGCAAACGGGGGCTCTTTGCGTTTGGGACTCACCTATAATGTCGGCGATGCCGAGGCCGAGCTCGCTGATGGTGGCGCTCGTCGGCAGCTCCTCTTCCTCCCTCAGCAGCAGGAGGCAAGGAGGCGGGACGTTTAGGATGACAGACAGCTGCGTCACCACATCGCTTAAAGGCGTCGACTAAAAACAAAAAAATCAATCAATCAATAACTGACAGGATGCTTAAACATACATTACGTTAAAAGGGCCCATAATCCTCTGGGTTGGGTGTCTGGTCCCCGGGTCAGTACTTCTCAATCAATGTGACTCTGACTGCTGTGGAGGCGGAGCTTAACACACCTGCTGAAACGCTGCACAGTGGCCTTTTATTAACCTGGGCTGCTGTTACCTGTACGTACCGACAGCACCGGGATCTTGTGGATCTCAGTCCTGCAGCGGATCTTAAGCGGGATCTCTCGCACTGAGGAGCTCTCTGACTCCGGCTCCGGGCTCATGATGATGACGTCATCGTCCTCATCGTCGTCCACGCGCACATACTCAGGATGTGACACGGGAGGACCTCGGCGCCGTCTCGACAGGCCGCCCTGAGGCTCTGGAGAGAGGAGGGAGCTCACCGCCCGGAGCTTCTGGTCGATCTCACTGAGGCGGGAACAAAAACAAAGCCAGCGCTGATCTTTAGCGGATGTGTCTGGAGAACGAAACAGGAAGCACACACGCGCACTCACCTGAGCTTCTGTTTCATCGCCCTGGACTGTTTCTGTACGGGACTCTCTGGAGGAGGAGGGGACGGACAGCGCACGGCGTCTCTGAAATAAAGCAAGAGGCACAGCAACGAATTCAAACTAAACTCGGCTTAAAGTTCGGAAGCTCGGGCACGATGCGGGTTCTGACTCACGGCTGCTGCTCCGCCTTCTTCTGCACGTGTTCATCTTCGGAGTCGCTGAGGGTGACGAAATGCACCGGCTCGGTTCGAGATGAAAACTCCAACAACAAACTGTCGTCTGCGTCGTCATCTGCTCACAGACAGGAAGTGGTTAAAGCCAGAAAATCACCCGCTCCTCTGAGCGTGGATAAAAGCGCGTCAGCTGTTACCTGTGTCGGTCTTTTCGGTGAGCAGCGCTGCCGTCGGCTTCAGCTGCAGACTGCTCTTCACCTGCAGACACAAAACACAGGATCAGGACAATCTAGTTCATGTGATACAGGTTGATGTTGCATGAAGATGTATTTAAGCCCCTCCCACTGAAGGGACACAGCACTGCTCTACAGTGAATCACAGCTTAATGTCTGAGGAATGCATGACACGTCATTTATATACATGTACAAATTTTTTTTTTTTTACATGTTTTTCAATTCAATTTGACTCAGAGGAAAATCACAAGAACAGCTGCACTGCAGTGGTTTGTATCATATCTATCTAATAGACTCCAGTTTGTGCATGTAAATGGAGAGTCCTCTTCACACACTGAGGTTAATTATGGAGTTCCACAGGGTTCAGTGCTAGGACCAATTCTGTTTACATTATACATGCTTCCCTTAGGCAGCATCATTAGAAGACATAGCATACATTTCACTGCTATGCGATGACACCCAGCTCTATCTGTCCATGAAGCCAGATAACACACACCAATGAGTTAAACTGCAGGAATGTCTTAAAGACATAAAGACCTGGATGGCCGCTAACTTTCTGCTTCTTAATTCAGATCAAACTGAGGTTATTGTACTCGGCCCTGAAAAGCTTAGAAATATGGTATCTAACCAGATTCTTACTCTGGATGGCATTACCTTGGCCTCCAGTAACGCTGTGAGGAACCTTGGAGTCATTTTTGACCAGGACATGTCCTTCAACGCACATATTAAACAAATATGTAAGACTGCTTTCTTCCATTTGTGCAACATCTCTAAAGTTAGAAATATCCTGTCTCAGAGTGACGCTGAAAAACTAGTTCATGCATTTATTACTTCCAGGCTGGACGACTGTAATTCATTATTATCAGGATGTCCTAAAAACTCCCTGAAAAGCCTTCAGCTGATCCAAAATGCTGCAGCAAGAGTCCTGACAGGGACTAGAAAGAGAGAGCAGATTTCTCCTGTTTTGGCTTCCTGTTAAATCCAGAATTCAAAATCCTGCTCCTCACATACAAGGTCTTAAATAATCAGGCCCCATCTTATCTTAATGACCTTGTAGTACCATATCACCCCACATTTTACTGAGTTTCTTCTGACAGAATCCAGCTCCTCTGAAGTCTGACAGCTGAAGCTCAGAGATACAGTGTGATGTATGATTCTTGCTCCATGTTGTCCGGCTCACTTTAATCCAAACAAGCTTCCATGGCTCTTATTGGCTCCTTACCTTGTTGGAGTAGATGGGCACGGGGACAATGGCTGACGGGTCGAGGATGCGTCGGCGCTTTGGCGGTGGCTTTGGGAGTGGAACGTCGCTGCTGTGAACCTGAGAACAGAGACAGAGGCTGCTCTGTAAGAGAAACGTCCAGCACGAGACGCCTTCAACAGACACCAGGGGGCAAAATATTAGGAACACTTCTATAACGTAAGGCAGCACAGGACTGGGGTTATAGTTAACTAAAACTAAACTAAGAATAAAACTAGATGTCAACAAAATATTTTTGTTAACTAAGATACAAACATAAACTCATTAGAAAAAAAAAAGTCTACACTAGACAAAACCAGCCGGGAGTACTCCCGGGGCAGACCCAGGACACACGATATCTCTCGGCTGTTCCCCCGGACAAGCTGGAGAAGGTGGGAAGTCCAGGCTCCTCTGCTTAGGCTGCTGCCCCCGCGACCCGGCCCCGGATAAGACGAAGAAGATGGACGGCTAGAAGCACTTGAACCAACGTTACTACAGTTAACTAAAGCTAAAAAACACCGTTAGTAAAAAGAGCTTTATTTAAAGTTTGACTTCAGTGCTCAGTGGGAGCAGCATGCTCAGGCTCAGCAGTCAACCCTGCTTAAAAACACTTTGCTGACTTTAAACACCTCCACCACCATCACGCCAGGTTCCTCTGATAAAAGTGTTTGATTCTTCTGCTTTAATTAAATATCACAGATGTATCTAATAAAGTGGCATGTGAAAGCATGTGTTCCTCAAAGCCCCAAAGTTCACACAGAAATGTCACAGTACTGAGTTTAAAAGTGAATCTTCCTGCTGCTCCCTGCAGACATCACCACAGCAGCTCATGTGCCTCCACCTATCCCAGCACACTCCTCTGTCACTCCAGCCCTGCAGCTCCATCGTCATCCTCCGCACATGCTCAGACCATCTCAGCCTCCCTGACTCTGAGCTGTCCCTCTGATGGACTCGTTTCTGATCCTGTCCCTGCTGTCCAACATCTTCAGCTCGGCCTCCTCCGTCTTCAAACCACGTTAAAGCTTCTTCCTCCTCTCGCTGCTCTCCACCTGCCTGTACTGGCATTTCCCCCTGTCTAGTGCACCGTCTGTTGTTTTGCGTAACGGACCCCAAAACAAACCAAACATCAACAAGAAGTTTAAAAGTGATTAAATTTGTTTAAAAGCAGAGCTGGGTTGTAGTTTAACCTCGCAAAAAGCTTTCAGCGATCCTCGGCGCAGTTTTTCTGTTGTCTTAACGCCATCGGCAGAAACAAGAAAGCGAAACTATACCTGGCTTTTATTTTGAAGCGCTCTGACTAAGGTTAGCTAACGTCGCGCTAACGCACAGTTAGTCGATTTAAACGGACTTTCCGCCAAAGCTGCTCACCTCCGTCTTCCTGTAGGTCTAATCAGGAGGCCCCTAACCTTCTAATTAAACACAACATTCATGATTTCAATAACGTTTCATCACTAAAAAAGCACCAGCAGACCTGTCACCCACTCACCGCTTCCGCCATGTTTGTTTCTTTCCACGGGGCGCCGCAACATTCACGGACTGTGGGATATTCTGCCTCAGTAGCGGCAGTGCTGCCTTTAAGGACTCTAGTGGATCCGTAACTGTAAAACTTCAAATTCAAATTCAAATTCAAATTTTATTTGTCACGTACACAGTCATACACAGTACGATATGTAGTGAAATGCTTGGACAACTGCTCGTGACCTAAAGAAAACAAAAAAGGAAAAGGCTATGAATAAGATAGGAAATAAATATGAAAAATTAAAAAGGGTAAATTTAACTAGGAAGGAATAAAATATAAATTAAGGTTAAAAATGAAATAACTGTACAACACAAATTAGAATGAAGGGTAAATTTAACTGGGAGAATAAGATAAAATATATAAATTAAAGTTGAAAATAAAATAACTGTACAACAAAATACACAATATAGAACTATATAAGAATGTATGAAGAAATATAAATAAATATATACACAATAACAGCAGCGTGATTTAAGTAATGAAGTGAAAACAAGTCCAGAAAGTCCAGTGTGTGTGTAAGAACTATGTGTGGGTCAGTACTGTGTGGTGGTGTGATTGAGAGACCGTATCGCCTGCGGGAAGAAGCTCCTCCTCAGTCTCTCTGTGTTGGTCTTCAGGGAGCGGAATCGCTTTCCTGACCTCACAGAGAGAACAGTCTGTTGTTGGGATGGCTGAGGTCCTTCACATCTTCCTGGCCTTGGTCCAGCACCGCCTGCTGTAGATTGAGTGCAGGTCAGGGAGCTCGGAGCGGATGGTGCGCTCAGCTGACCGCACAACCCTCTGTAGAGCTCGTCTGTCCTGCATGGTGCTGTTCCCGAACCAGGTTAAGATGTTTCCCGCCAGGATGCTCTCTATGGTGCACGAGTAAAAGTTCCTGAGCACCTTGGAGGGCAGTTGGAAGTCTCTCAAGCGTCTGAGGTGGTAGATGCAAACTTGTAGATGCAAACTAACAACAACTGATATCAGACACACTGAAGGAAAAACTAAGGAACCAGTTTCAGTATTTTCAAGGTTATTTGGAATTTCGGAGAAAAAACTTAAAGAAAAATCTGCTTTCTGCAGAGAAAAACAAGTGTCCAGTTTACAAGAACAAAAAAAACTAGCAAAAATATATTTTTGAGGAAAAAAGGGTGAAAATTGAAGGATTATAAGAAAAATTCCCAAACTTATAAGAACAAGATCAAATTAAAGTACTTTTAGGAGCATGGAATTTATGTGGAAAAAACAAACAGGTGAATTTACTAGAATTAAAAACACTTCATTTAAACATGGACAAACTTATAAAACAAGCTGCAAATTTGAGAGAAATTCATATAATATTTTAATATCACAAAAATAACAAATACAACAAAATCTCATTAATATCTGGTAATATACGAAATGGAAACACTACGTTCCTGAGATCAGTGTGAATGAAAACAAAGCTGGAGATTGTCGTCCTCCAAACTGCACACTGACAGTTTGTGTGATGATGTTTCAGATGCTTCATTAAAATAAATACAGAGAGGAGCACGTGCGTGGGCTCCTCGTGCTCCTCGAGCACATTAAAAGACCTTTCTTCATGTGGAGGACTATAAATACCTCCGAGTACACATACACACTACACTGGGTTAAAAACACCACTGCACTTTACAGGCAGGGCCAGACTCGGCTCTATTTTCTGAAGCGGCTGAGGTCATTTAACATCTGTCTGACAATTCTCAGGATTTTTTGTTACAGTCAGTGCAATCCTCTATGCTGCTGCATGCTGGGGCAGCAGGTTGAGGGTTGCAGACCCCCACAGACTGAATAAACTGATCCTCAAGGCCAGTAATGTTGTGGGGACGGAGCTGGACTTCCTTAGGGTGGTGTCGGAGAGGCTGGTGCTGTCTAAGACAAAGACAATGTTGGATAACACCTCCCACCCACTCCATGACGTGCTGGCTAGCCACAGGAGCTCGTTCAGTGAGAGACTGAGATTACCCATAATGCACCACTGAATGACACAGGAAGTCATTCCTGCCTGTGGCTCCCTGTACAACTAATGCACAGTTACACCCTGAGCAGCTCCTTCAGCTGCTGCACCCACGATGTGGGACGGAGATTTCACAGGTCTTTCCTTCCAGCTGCTGTCAGTCTCTGCAGATGACCACACCTGTGCAGACACACACAGTTGTAACTGTCTCCCTGATGCAATTTTTCCTACTATGACAAAGCATTTTACTCTTGTTGTGTAGCACGTTATTCTATTTTTAACTTATTGTTTTTCTGAACTCTTGCTGCTCTTAAACTTGGCCACAATATTTTTGGCAGTGACCAACGTGTGGGACTAATAAAGCTTTACGTCATCTGTCTGTTAAATTTGTAAACTCTGAACATATTGTATGGTTTAAATAGTTCAGTCTGTTGCTGTCCTGGAGCAACTGTAACCCACATAATTTACTTACGGACGAATATTCTGATTCTATTGATTGTCGTGTATTAATCTGACTGAAGCACCTGGTTTTCTTTTAACCTTCAAGTAAACACAGCTGGAAGTCCAAGCATGACCCGAGGACGGTGACCCCAGGACCTGTACCCTGCCTCTGCTCCTCGTGCAGATCACGTTTCCACGTGTCACAGCTTTTAGTTTCAAACGAGAGTCGTGTGTTTCACCGACTTCCTGCGTCTGTACTTTGGAGTCATGTTCAGTTTTACACAAAGAGAAGAGACGTGGACACAAACCTGTGCACAGTTTTTTAAAACAACAACAAACACGAACACATAAAAAAACAAAACAGTTTGAATAAAACATGAATGAGTTTTTTTTACTTCCTGAAAATAAATTAAAAAATGTTTTTTTCTTCTTCCTCGAGTGCTTCCTGCTGTTCAACATCTGATCAGCTGATCAATACAAATCCCACTCTGATGAGAGCTGACAAGAAACAACATCAGTCCCAGGGATACAAGCATCAGACTGAGGAACACGTGTTCTTATAAACATGGAGGTTTGGTCCCGCCGCCGCCGCTCACTTCTTCTTGTTCTCTTTGCAGGCGACCACGTAGCGCTGGGCCACGTTGAGCGGCGGTGAGTAACCGTCAGGGTACGACGTGTCCTCAAACAGCACCGAGTAATCGTCCTGAGGCTGCGCAACACACAGCAAACACACAAACACACACACACACACACACACACACACACACACACACACACACACACACACACACACACACACACACTTTATTAACACCTCTCAGTCACAGTTTCTGTCTCTGCAGCTGAAGCAGCTGCAGTTCCTCTAATGTCCACTAGAGGCTCCTATAATGAGTCAATCCCCACAGACTGTACAGAGAAGATGGAAGCAGTGTCCGTGACATTACCCAGTGCTTTTCGGCCCCCACCCTCCTCCGCAGCGAGCTGCTGATCAGCTTTGGCTCTAAGTCGGCGCGCCGTCACTTCCGACGCCAAAAGCCAACGCCACAGAAACAAAAACACGAATGTTTCGAAACCAGAGGATGACGTGACAGTGGCCACGTGCATCTTTTATCTACAGTCTATGCAGAAGCTATAATGACTCTGGAATAAACGTTACACAGAATAAACTCATAGAGGATAAAACATGAAAAGACTTTTATTAATCGGCGTTTCCTGAGCCGAGGCTGACCCGTCACAGACGCGCCTGTCAAAATAAAACCTCACCCTGTGCGGCGGCGTGTGGATCAGCGCTCGGTAGAAGCAGGTGGTCTGAGGGTAAAGGGCCAGCACCAGCTGGTCCTTACTGAACAACGCCTCAGGGTCCGTCTCCGGGTTGGCTTTCCACTGCGGCAGAGGGATGATCCGCCGTCTGCTCAGCATGTGCCGCCTGCTCGCTCAGAAAACACAGAAGAAGAAGGAGGAGGAGGAGGAGGAGGAGGAGGAGGAGGAGGAGGAGAAGGAGGAGATTTGTCACTTTTAGAGAACAAGCTGCTGAGATTCTCCCACAGACCCGGCACAGTTTACTCCTCTGTGACAAGATCAACACACGTTTCGCGCGCTGAAACATACAAGCCCCGCCCACAATCACTGCATTCATGAATGAGTCAGAGGCGTGGCAATCAGGTTTAAACCGTCCCATATAAACCAGCCTGATTTTAACGTCTGTACACTGATCTGAATAACGATGGAAACTGAAAATGGAGGAAAGTCCACGAAAAACAGGCGAAGGGACGAAAATCTGCAGCACGAGAACGACTCTAAGAAGAAAGACGACGAGGAAAAGCAGGAGGAGGAAAACACTGAGAAGGGAGGAAAACACTGAGAAGAGACGAAGAACCAGAGCAGATGTAAAATCCTATAAACGCTTGCTTCTGGCTAAAGCTGGGAGTCGTACTCGGCCTCGCTCACAAAGCCTCGCTGCGGTCCGAGCTTCAACGTGAAAGCCCTTCACGCTGTTCCTGTCAGAGAACATAACGAAGAGGAACTCACTCTTTGCCCTCCTCGTCGATGTCGTCCACTTCGTACCTGCAGGGGGAGCAGAGGAGGCGTCAGAGGCTGATGATCGCATTACACCACGCAGGCGTCGCCACAAACGGTCACGTGTTCTTACTTGTTGGTGGAATGGTTGTAGCTGACCACCTCAGCCAGGATCCACTGCTCATCGCCCTCCACGCTCTTCACCCTCGCCGCCACCTTGTCTCCCTGTTTGGCTACGTAGTCGCTGCTCGCAGGGGTCGCCCCGCACAGAGGAGGAGGGCTGGAGAGGGAGGAGTCACAGAGAAGATGCTACCTCAGAAAGTCAGCTGGAGCACACCTGAGCATCGGGTACAAGCTACCGACAAGCCGGTGCCGCTCGCTGCTCATGGCGGGAACAGAAGAGACACTCGGCGGATAAACGTGACGTTCTCGTTTTTAAAGAGAAGATGCCTCACCACCACCGTTTAACGTGATGGTGAAAGAAACGCATAAAAGCCTGAAATAAAGACGTGACCTCACAGGAAGCCTGGGCGGGGACGCAAAGCTGCTTTTTAACACCATCTGAGGTGTTTCCATGGCGCTGTGGGGACGTCACTAGAGCCCAATATTGTGGCCACCGGCGTTGGGGCAGTACCACCTACCTCTCCCCCGGCTTCCCGATCCACAGAGGAAGTGTCATGGCCGACTGCTGGAGGAGCGTCATGAGGACGCCACGCCTCATCGTCTTCCTGGGAGGGTCACTGTCGCTGTAAACGCCCGCCATCTTTGCAGCTGCAGACAGACAGACAGGTGAGTTTTGTGTCACATGAAACAGGAAGTGCAGCTGCAGATGTGAGAGGCCGAATACCGGACACGCACCTATCCGCCGCTCCTCCAGCAAAGACTTGATTTCTGCGATCTTATCGAGGGCGTGACGCAGAATGCTGAGAGGCGGAAGGAAAAGACACAAAAGAAGAAGAAAAAGGTGATTTTCACTCACTCTTAGAAATGTGAAAACGAACAGGCTAGAAAGGCGACATGAACGGAAACCGGAGCTCAGGTTGTTGGGCCGCCGGTTCGTGCAGTGACCTCACAGCAGCCATATTACTGGTCACATGATGTCATTAAAAAGGCTCCAACAGCACAGAGTCTCAGTCTGTACTCAGAGGAAATTACTGCTTATTGCGCTTCAGTCATGGTGTTCATGCATCTGTCCCCCTTTATTTTTTCATTTGTATAACCTTTATTTAAACAAAACAGTAACAAGCTTGAGACTGGAAGTCTCCTGTATAACATAAGTGACATCACCATGATCTTTAAGGGTTAAAGGTCATGCTCAGTGGCCTCTCACCTGCACTCCGCCTCAGCGTCTGCCTTGGCCGTGGTGTAGAGCCCCCTCAGCTTGGTGCGGTAGTACGGAGAAGCTGCAGGAGACACACGTCCACGTTTAGGACCACACGACAAATTCAGCACATGTGCTCAAAGCTGCTGGCACTCACTCTTGTTCTCAGTCTGCATCCTCTCGTGCGTTTTCTGGATGTTGAGCAGGTTGTGTTCACTGCGTGACCTCTCCTCCTGAAGCGGGCCGAGTGCAGGTAATTAGGATGTGATCAAAGTGTCTGTGAAGGTTCTCAGTCATCCAGGTCATCGTAGTCAAAGGAGCTTGCAAAGAAAAGCGTCTGGACTTCTTTAAGTTACTTGAAGACGTTACTTCAAGTAACTTAAAGAAGTCCAGACGCTTTTCTTTGCAAGCTCCTTTGATGTGATCAAAGCTTGACCTGATCAATCACAAAGGAAGCAGATCAATACTGACCTGTGTCTGCTTGATGAGCTGGTGGAGCTCAGTGAGCAGCTCCGCAATCTTGGGGTCAGCGGACATGATTTAACCTGTGAGGATGTGGAGCATCAAACAGCAGCGCTTAGTTACAACATACAAAACCTCATTTAAAAAACGTCTACTTTAAGGCGGTTTTAATGACGGTGAACACTTCACAAAGCACAAATAGTCTGAACATTTCGATCACCGCGGTCATAACATACTGGATATAAAGTTCCGAATCAATACTCGTATGTAACACAACTGAAGTCGTGCTCTATGTGTGTTGGGTGTTGCCTGGAAAACACGGGATGTCTTAAATAAAAGATTTCTGAACGGGGTTTGGTGTAAAGTTCGCTACAGACAAAAACGGCTCGGAAATGCTTCGTAACGCCAAAAATCGGATTAAAGAAAAACATTAGCAATATATATTCAACTCAGATAGATCAATGATCGGAATAAGCGTCATATTTCCCTCAAAACCAGCTCACAAACCTCCTCACCGAGCTGCTTTCTTCTATTATTTGCGCTCAACTCAGGAACCGCAGGTACTGGCCTTCTGTTCTTCTTCTTTGGTACTAATCGTGTGCAGCAGTTTCGGTGAACACACTGCCACCAACTGGGCGGAGTGTGGTACTGCAGACACGGGGCGCTTAAAAAACGTAAACATTTTACTTTAAAAATTGTATTTCTTTTTGTTGTACTTATGTGACTTTATTATACCCTTTGTAGCCATTCATTATTTATCTGTAATTTATTTGTGTGCAGTTATTTTGTGGTTTTTAAAGATTTTTCCAGCTGTTATTTTTTTGTGTACAAACATTTTGTCTCTTTCCCGTTACCTGTGCTGTTTACAGTTGCCTCTGTGGTAATCTAGTGTTTCCTTGGAGGAAATTTGTGATCCTTTGTCAAGATATAGGCTGGGGTAAGAAGAAGGAGACAGAGCGAGTTTAAAAATGGAAATTTACAAGAAAGAAATATTTAAGAAATATTAAACAGAAAATGTGTGTGTGTGTGTGTTTTTGTGAACTTGCAACTATAATGTTACAAATTCCAGTTTCTTCTCTCCTAGCCTGACCCTGTATTTTGATTTATTTTTTTTTACTGAGTAATCTGAATCTGGAGTCTGTCCCTGCTGTCACAGGGCGAGAGGAGGGATAAACCTTCCACAGATCCCCTTCATGTTAAAAAAAACACATTTTTTTTAAAAAAACAGACCAGGCTGATACCAGGATTCACCATGGCTACGAGTATATGAAGAGCAGAGCCACGTTCGAAAGAAAGATGGAGTCCAGGGCTTTAAAGATTCAGCCATAAACTGAAGATAAAGATCAGATTCAGTTTTCTGGTGGACGTGTGATCCACGTGATCCACGTGTTTGATAACTGCACACATTCACGCTCTGCAGCCTCCATTAAAAGCATCAACGCTCTTAGTTTCCTCGGGTTTGTCTCTATCACTGCGATTGATTACAGTGATGGACAGATGCAGTGATTGATCGCTGATCAGTGTTTCTGGGTCTGAAGCTTCATTAAACTCACATCAATCACTGATCGATCATAAATACAGTTCATTAAGATTTCAGTGTGCGAGCAGATGAAGGCCTCTGATTGGTTCTTTGATATCAGCTGTATGAAAGAGGAATAAACTTGTTCCAGGCTGAGGACAGAGTCTTCACCACTTCTGAATAGTGATGTGTCGGTCGCGAACAAAACGGCTCTTAGAGCCGACTCTTTGAAGCGAACCACGCGAGCCGGCTCCTTATTGGGAGCCATGTTTTTTCTTTTCTTTCTCTCACCCTCTCTCTCTCTCTCTCTCTCTCTCTCTCGCACTTTTTTCTGCGCGCAAGCCCTGTGCTTTGCACTGGGCAGAGGGGGGAGGGGCGGTAGTTACACTCAGTAGCACAGGAACAGAGCGGGAGGGAGAGAGAGAGCAGGGACAACAAGGTCACATTAGAAAGGTGTAGTAAAGGAATCAGAAAGTTTATTCATGCAGGCCATATGACAGAGAATGTGCATCTTCTTTTTGTTTTCATATTTAATTTATATTTAATTGTGTTGTGGTTTGCAGTGTTTTGTGTTGTTTCACTTTAAATTTGTTTAAAAGGAAAAAGCTGAAAATTTAAATAGTTAAAAGTTGAAATGTGAATAGTTGGTTTTTGTATTATATGATTTATTTATTACATTTTATGTGGAGTGAATAAATAAAAGTATATTTACGGTCCCCTAGAGACAAACACATACAAAACACAACAGAAGTGCTCCAGGATGCTAGGGGCAGTGTTGAGCTTTTGTTACCTAGTGGCTACACAAGCCAGCAAGTACCAACGACCGGATTTGGTGTGTGGTAGTAACAGGTAAATGAACTTTTTTTTTAAATTATTTGAATATATATGAGTGCCTGTGTATAAATACACAAACAATACACACATGCTTTCAATTGTGTAATTTAAGTGATCTAGTAGCTCTGCTTTGGAAGTTCAGTTAAGCTAGAAATGTGTTTTGGAGTTTGTACGTGTTTTGTCTCTAGGGGCCACCGTATATATTTATATTAAACATATATAAATAAAACCACTTTTTTTTACATTAGTAATTCCTTTTGTGCTTAATTTTACATTGTTGTTGGTAATAAGTTAATTAAAGGAACAAAACAACCTGAAGAGCCGGTTCTCTAAAAAGAGACGGAAAGCCCATCACTGCTTCTGAAACAGGAAACCTGATTTCCTCGTGTCAGGTCTTCTCTAAACCTGCTGTCTGATAGAGGCCCTTTCAAAATAAAATCCTGCTGACTGTTGTTTTTCTGTTAGAAGAAATGGGTGGTTATCTCTCAGGTGAGAGGAGGAGGAGCCTGTTGTCGGCCGTGTGCTGCTGGTGTCGTCCGACACTGACACGACTCTGCAGGTAAACATCCTGACAGTTAATCATTACCATCTGTGGCGAGGTGACACGTCACTCTGAGGTCAGAGCAGCGACGTGCAGGAGACATTCAAAGGAAAAGCACCGCAGATAAACACAGCGACTCTCTACCTGCAATCCAGATGTTATTGGTTTTATTTATTGATCCCTGAAGCAGTCAGAAGGTCAGCACACACCTGACAGATAACCAAAGTGACACCCATGAACAGCAAATATCAAGTCCAGAGTCAGGCTCAGGCAGAGCTGTGCTGTGTGTGCTGATGGGAACCACAAGCAAACCTTTATTTAAGCTGTAAAATAACAAGTCCAAACTGTCCAAGCATGCAAACAGGCACATCCTTAAACTCACAGAGGACTCGGCCATCATTAGTCCTCTGATTTCAGAGAATCTCACCCTGGACTGCAGTCCAACATCAGGCGCTCAGATACCGGAGGGAGCAACAGAAACACTTTGGGCCGTCGCTGATGTGGAAGCAGAGGTCAGGAGGAGCCACGACGCCTGGGCTTTTTCTGATAGAAGAGAAATGACGTTTTTAACTTTTGTTGAATCAGTTTGAATATTTTCCTTCATTGGTGGAAATGTTGGAACCAAACTGTTTACGAGCAGCAGGCAGAGCAACAGGCCCGAGCTGCTGTGGATCCTGCCGCATGAGTAACAGCACCAAAAACCTCTTTAAATCCTTTTATGTGCCATCGGAGCCATCCCCGCACCGTTTTAGTGGTTTTTACACACAGTAGTGATTTTTTTTACTGCAGGATTACGTGTCATGATTTTGTATATTTGGTGTATTTTGGATGTGGAGTTCTTTCTGCTCTTTGAGGATCATTTCTCGACTGTCTGTAAAACAAGTTTCCAGTCAGGACAATGAAACGCCTGAATCCTGCACACAGGGAGACACAGGTGATAAGAATCAAGGCCAGGAGAGACTACCAAAATAAAACAGGAAGTGAGCAGCAATAACTACACATGTGGGAAGTGACAAAAGATGAAGAGACAGGAAGCACCGAGGTGAAAATATTCGGGGTCGCTCCATTTCTTCTTGACCGTCTTCAGTTTGAACAAAAATGTTACGGTCCAAAGTTTGAGCGGTTATAATGTGCACGCTGAAATTTTAGCTTCATACATCAAACACATTGTACAGGGTGGGCCATTTCTATGGATACAGTGTAATAACATGGGAATGGTTGGTGATATTAAAGTCCTGTTTGTGGCACATTAGTATATGTGAGGGGGCAAACTCCTCAAGGTGGGCGGTGACCATGGTGGCCATGTAGAAGTCGGCCATCTTGGATACAACTTTTGTTTTTTCAATAGGAAGAGGGTCATGTGACACATCACACTTATTGGTAATGTCACAAGAAAAACAATGGTGTGCTTGGTTTCAACGTAACTTTATTCTTTCATGAGTTATTTACAAGTTTCTCTTTGTTCACAGCCATTGACATGTCGAAGAGGTGAACACGTGAGGAGCGGAATCGTGTTGATATCTGGTGAACGCAGTAACCAGGTCATTGCAGCAGATTTCAATGCAAGACCCCCTACGTAAAGTAATGGGATTACTTTCTTGGAGAAGTAATGAGTAACAAGTAACTGATTACTATTTTTAAGTCATTTGACCAACACTGTTCAGCAGCAGATTAATGAGGCGTGACTGATGTCATCAGGACCTGCTTACGTTCACATCAGCTGAGTCGTTTAGACGTTTGTGTTTCAATTCCAAACGTCCAAAATCAGAAGAACTAAAACGTTCGAGGTGTTTGAAAGATCTGAATTAAAACTGTTCAATCATTTCACCTTAAAATGATTCTTTGTTTGACATACATGGAATTCTATGATAAAGCATTTAGAAATCATCACTGTTCGTCTTTTGCACCGTACATTTTTCATCAGGGTTTTTTCATATTTAACCCGTCAGCACAAACTTTGGGCCCCGACTTTAGTAAATCAGAGGTGGCTGTGCTGGTTTGAGACGGATAAAAACTGGAAACACTGGTTCAAAGAAGCTGTAAAAAAACCAAAACCAAAATGACTCCAGTGCACGAGAGGACGCGCGTACACCCCAAACCCTCAGCAGGTCCAACGATCAGTGGCCTCTCAGGTGAAGATTTCCTGCTTTTCTTGCTGATTTTTAGGGACTTTGATCGATAAATGAAACAATTTCAGGAGATTTAACAGGAAACGTTTGCAGCTGTGTTAGTACGTGTAACGTGCAGTGAAAGGATTCATGAAGATGAAAACACCTGAGCGAGTTTCCAGCTGCGGTTAATGTTTACCTGCTGATATCAGCTGATATCTGTGAGCTGTGTGTTCTCTGGCAGCGCGACACGCCTCGCACATGTGACTGCGCACACGTCTGCAGCAAAGTAAACATCCTGAGCTCACATCCTGCAGATTACACACTCGGTTCAAAACACGCAAACATGCAGCCGTGACTTAGAGCTGCGACATAAACATGATAAAAGGCTGATTTCATAAAAAGTCAGTTATTCATGAAATATTTCAAACTGTGAGATAAACAGTCAAACGCGAGGAGACAAAGTTTCCCCGATTCAGCAGAATGACGAGATTTCAGCTCGACGTCTGACAAATCCTGTTTCACTGAGTCTGCAGCACGAAGACGTGATCGTCCACAGTTTGCTGCTGAAAACACAAAATCATCATCGGAAAGATTAAAATACG